ACAGGACCCTCTGTTGCTTTTCTTAGTGCTATTTGTCCAGTTAGGAATTTTTATAGTTGTGACCAAGTTTGGCCACAAAGGATGGAGTCAGATCAGCCAATGTTGGTTAACAGTGCTTATGGTTACTGGGAAGATCAATATTTATATAGTTATGGTTGTCATGGAAAAAGCGACAGAGTCCTGTGGCATCTTATAGTCTAACAGACATATTGGAGCATAAGCTTTCGTGGGTGAATACCCACTTCGTCAGATGAATGACATTAGCTAACACGGCTACCCCTCTGATGGTTGTCATGGAGTTTTTGCTTCTCTCTAAGGATACCACTGCAGAGTAGAGTTAAGGCTATTTGGGTGTTGCACAAACACAACATTTCAGTACACGGGTATATGTTAATGAACAGTGTGTAGGCTAAGTGGAACTTCTCAGTGTACAAGCTAATTAATATCCAGTTACTGTCTAAATATCACTGATATAAAGAGTGAAAATAAATGCTCAGTAACAAGCATCCCATAAAAGTTATTTCCTATTTTCCAAAAGGCATAAAGGGTTTTGGGAATATTTACTGGCACAAAATAAACTGTTTACAATTGTGGAGTGAATGATCTTACTTTGAATCAATGACTTCCTGTTTCTTGTTTGAGTCCTCAAGGGAGGGGAAAAAAATGAGTTCATCTCTTGGCTTCACCCGAGTGTTCTGATTCAGCACTGTAACCTACATAAGTTTCCTTTTCTCTCCCTCCTCACTGTCTCCTTTTTTTTTTTTTAATCTAAGATCTTTTGTAAACAAATACCCATTAAAATTGTAAGTATAGCATCAGACATTAATTGAAACAAGTTTGACAAGCCTGGGATGATTAAAAACTTTTTAAAAAAAGCTTCTTGGTAAGTTTCTTCTCCACACACTTCAAGGAGCCAGAAAGAATGGAGATTGTTTAAATAAGGAAAGGAAAACTAAGTTTTGATTTTTATATCACCAACTCTATGATGTTTTTCAATGTCTTTTTAATACAACACTGTTTTTAGTTTAACAATTTGTATAAGCCTCCGTGTGGGTGGCTGGAGAAAGTGGGTTAGGTCTTCCTGTCTTACCAGGATTGTGCAGTTTTCAAAACAGTTTTTGGAGGATTTTCTCCCAGCTCCAAAAGATATAATCACATTGAGCTATTAGGGTTCGGTGATACGTGGACCATACGTGCCTAATCTGAGGGACCCCAAATTCACAGGATTTTCAATGCTGCAGCTGTAGAAGTGGTGTTGCATAGAAAGGCTGAATGGAGAGATGGACCCTGCCTGGGAGTGCTCCAAGAAAGACATTTTTGAGCTTGTCATCGACCGCTGTCCTGAGTCATGAAGAAACATTGTTAACTTTGGTGGTGGTTTTTTTTATTGACTGCTTTTGTGTAATTCCAGGTTATCAGAGAGAGATGTCCTGAATTTTTTTAAAATCTCTTCAAAAATTGATTTATAAAGGGTTTTTCTGTTCCCTTGTAGATTTTTATAAGGGTATGGTCATAAGGGTAGAACTCAACTATGCCCCGATCCTGCAATAAGCACTACATATGTGAACCCCTAAAGAGCTCCACGGGCTGCAATGGAGAACTGGGGGAGTGCAGAGGTCTGCCCACACAGAGCTCATTGCAGGATCAGGGCCTAACTGATTCTATAGCCACAACCCATTGTACACACAGCACTGTCAAATAAGTAAATGCTTAAAACAAAACTATGTTCACTAACTTATAGCATTTTAAAGTGTAATTCCTTAGTACAGTAGGAACAAGCTTTGCACTCACTAATGGGATTTGCAAGTTGGTGGTGTCAATACATACATACATTTCTTGAGTGTTAAGTGTGGGGGATTCTTCTTGGGAAAGGGTATATGGCACAGAGAAGCTTTAGTGAACGACAGACGTGTAGTAAGCTACTGTATCACCAAGCAGCTCTCAGTTTTGTCACTTCCACTTTAGGCAGGTCTTGTATAGACACACAAAGTTGCTTTGGTGCATCAGCATGTTACCCCAGTGGATGACCTCATTATCACAAGGCAATGACATCATGACCCAAAGTGAGGGACCTCTGACACGTTATGACAGTGGAGGCCAACCTCTGGCTCCGGAGCCACATGTGGCTCTTCAGAAGTTAATGTGCGGCTCCTTGTATAGGCACCGACTCTGGGGTTGGAGCTACAGGCGCCAACTTTCTAATGTGCTGGGGGGGTGCTCACTGCTCAACCCCTGGCTCTGCCACAGGCCATGCCCCCCTCCTCCCCTGAGCCTGCCATGCCCTCGCTCCCCCGAGCCTCCTGCACACCACAAAACAGCTGATTGGGAGCAGGAGCGGCGCCAGGGTTTTTGCCACCCTAGGCGGCAGCACTCCTCTGAGCATTCGGCGGCGGGGGGGGGTCCTTCCGCTCCGCGTCTTCGGGGCACTTCGGCAGCGGGTCCCGGAGCGAGTGAAGGACCCACCGCCGAATTTCCGCCGAAGACCTGGAGCGGAAGGACCCCCCCGCAGCCAAATTTCCGCCGAGGGCGGCATCCAAATCCTGCCGCCGTAGGTGACTGCCTAGGGTCGCCTAGTGGAAGCGCCGGCCCTGATTGGGAGGTGCAGGGAGGAAGGATGAGGGTCTGATCAGCAGGGCTGCCTGCCAGTGGGCAGGAGGTGCTGGGAACAGGGTTGCGGACCTGCTAACTTATTACTGTGGCTCTTTGGCAATGCACATTGGTAAATTCTGGCTCCTTCTCAGGCTCAGGTTGCCCACCCCGGCGTTATGATGTCCTGATCCTGACGCTATGACATCACAATCTGATGTCATACGATGTCCCCTGGCCGCCAAGCCATCTGCTTTGCCGCTGCTTGAGGCCGGACGAGGCTCCAGGGAGGGGGCCAGCCCGCTCCCGCCCCAGGCCCCGCCGGGAGCGGAGGGCAGGGGCTGCGGGAGCTCTGCTGCTGAGTGGCCAGGCTGTAGGGGGAGCGGTCCCGCCCGCAGGAGAAGGCAGCCCCGGGGTCCCGGCCCCTGCGGGACGAAAGGGGGAAAGAAATCTCGTCAAACCTGGCAGGGCTCCGGCTGGCTGCTGAGCAGGAGGCCGGTCCCGCGCCGGGTCCCGTCTCTTGTCTCGCAGCTCCGGGCTCCGTTAGGGTCGAAGCCGCCGCGGCTCTAACCGCCTCCCCCGCGCCCGTCCCACGATCCCCGCGGCGGGCAGCGAGGGGCCTGAGCGGCAGCCGCGCCGGCCACTGAGGAGCCAGAGGCTGCCCGGCCACAGGCCGGCGGGCGGGGCCACCCGTCCCCTCTCGTGCCTGCGAAGAGGGGAGGCAGCTCCAGGGCACTGCTGGGAGGGAAGGTCCCAGTTCCTGCGGCTCCCTCCCAGCCAGAGCGAGGGGCTACGGGGCGTGGGACGGCTCCCTGTGGCCGAGGCCGCCAGGGTGCCCGTTGGGGGCACGGGAACCCCTGTGTCGGTGCCCGTTGGGGGCACGGGAACCCCTGTGTCGGTGCCCGTCGGGGGCAAGGGGCTCCCTGTGTCGGTGCCCGTTGGGGGCACGGGAACCCCTGTGTCGGTGCCCGTTGGGGGCACGGGGCTCCCTGTGTCGGTGCCCGTTGGGGCACGGGACCCCCTATGTTGGTGCCTATTGGGGCATTGGGATCTTTGTGTTGTTGTCCACCAGGGCACCCCCATTGATGCATTGGGATCCCTGTGTTGGTGCCCACGTCGGTGCCTGCCGGGGCACCCCTGTCGAGGTGAGGGGACCCCATGTCTGTGCCCACCAATGGTGCCCCCACAGGTGTGCAGGGACTCCTGTGTCTGTGCCCACCAGAGGCACCCCCATCAGGTCCCCCCTAGGGACCTCCTTGTGTCAATAGTACGGTCCACCATGCTCCATTGGGGCGCAGGGATACCTGTCTCAGTGCCTGTCGGGGCAGAGGGACCCTTGTCATGGTACCTGCCAGGGGCACCCCTGTCAGGATGGAGGGATCCCTGTCTCAGTGCCAGCCCAGGTGCCCTGGGACCCTGTGTTGGAGGTCCTGCTCAACCCATGCAGCCTTGGGATGGAGCATGCTAGGTACAGCCAGACAGTGTTAGGTAATCTTAACTACAGATGTTGCTATTAGCTCCCCTGTGTAATTACATGACTTTTTAACCAAAGGATCGTGCTCTGAGTGAAGGCAGAGGACTCCTGACCTCTAACAGGAAAACCCTTGTATAAAGAAATTTGTATAATGATGTACCTTGTTTTGTTGCTTCAAGAACTCGAATTGGCTTTCCCCCTTTCCCGCCAGTCCTGCACAGACATCAGTGGACCTATTCACAGTTAAATATACATGTAAGTCTCTACAGGATTGGAACACAAGAGGGTAATAAATACACTATTTAGAAATCTTTCATTAATGCTTTTCAATTTCCTTTGGGAATTTCCTACTGTTACTATCAAGTCCTGGTTCTTTCACTTCAGTCATTTGTATCCTGTAATAAATTCCCTACCTTACACTTTTCCAAATATTTGAAGGAATCATTTAATGCATTGATCCAAATGGGCAGTACCCTGTGATGCTACAGGCTGAGACCCAGAAGGCCAAAAAGAAGACCCATTGACTCCACAAGGGTCTGTCCACATGGTTTACTTCATGTAAGTAAGGAGTAAGGCCAAAGTGTAAGCTGGAGAGCAGGTCACAAAAGGCATATCACTTACAATACACGTTAGAGAAATGAACATTCGCTATTTTCTCTATTTAATTTCTCCTCGCTTTGACATAGTTGCATTTATTGTATTAGCTTTCCATAGCATAACTTTGGAATCTTGCAGGACAGTTTTCCTGTCCAAAAAAAACCTAATAAAAATATTTTTAAAATACAAGAGGATTGCTTCTCCTCTGCTCCTCTTAAGTCTGAGCATTAGCCAGAATGCTAGGTTCAGGTTAATATAATTTGTAGTACTGAAATTAATTTTTATTAGTGAAACAGTTGTACGGTATAGTTGGTGCATAAAGAACTAACACAAAATGTAATTCATTGTATTCAAAACTTTTGGAAGCGAATTGTATAATGACCTGCATTTCTATTGTAACTTTCATCCTAAGGGATCCTAAATCATATTATAAAGTTAACACATTAATATATCAACTGTATACAAGAATGATGCTGCTATCTCTGTGCTGAAAATGCCGGGTGAATTTCAAGTAGGCCAGAACATAATTATCTGAGTTCCAGTTTGGCCAGAGTAATGGACATGAAATCCCTACTCATGCAAAAAGTTCCATGGATCCATAAGTAGTGAGAACATCAGTTTTATATCTCATCTGTTATTCCTATGTAGGTTTTAAATATAAGAAGATGCAACAAAATGTCACATAAATCCATCTATTAATATGCAGATACAATACAATGAACATATGAATGGATATTGTGTATTCATATAATTATACTTGTACCTTTTCAGAATAATTTACCAATATAAATAAATGATTCATCCTCAGAGACTATTGTATGCGGAACTGATTACCCCATCTCAAAAAGGATATTACAGATATAAAGAGGGTTCAGGGAAGGGTACTGAGAATGATTAAAGGCATGAAAGAATTCCTATAAAGAGAGTTTGAAAAGACTGGGATTGTTTACCTTAGATAAATAAAAGAGGACATGATAAAAATATATAAAATAATGAACAGTACAGAGAAGCTAGATTGAGAACTTCTGTTCTCCCTGTCTCATAACACAAGAGCAAGGGGATATTCAATGAAATTAAAAGGTGGTTAATTCAAAGCGAATGAAATGAAATGCTTTTTCATATACAACATGTAGTTGGATTGTGGAACTCATTGCCACTAACTGAGACCAAGAATTTAGCAAGATTCTAAGGAGATACTGGACATTTATATGGATAACAAAAATGTCCGGAGTTATAATAGTTAATGCTAAAAAAGTTTTGGAAGGACTATAAAATCTCATGCTTCAGGGGTTAAACCAATATTTAATTATTAGGAATTATCATGAGACCTTAACTGGCGAGAGACGGGGCAGATTATCCCACATCTGTCTACTATGAGCCGTTCATTTTTCCTGTGAAGCATCCGTTGCTGGCCATTGTTGGAGACAGGATACTGGACGAGATGGACTATAGGTGTGATCCAGTGTGGTGGTTCTTATGTTTTTCCTTTATTTTTAATTTTTTTTCTTCATCCTTCACTCCAATTTTGTTTTACGTATTTTCTACATTATATGGATTTTTCTCAGTCTCTCTATTTTCCCTAAGAATAACTTAAAGACATCCTCCTGATTCTGAAGTTTATGAGCACCTCAGAAATGAGGGTGGCAGTGCTGTTAACATTATTCAGCAAAAAAAAGTAGAATTTGCCAAATATAAACTCAGGGGTTGGAATTGTGTGCGATCATTAGTGTGGAAGCAGAGAAAGAACTGACAGGAAGGGGATGCAATGCATGACAGTTCGTTAGCAAGAGTTAGGCTAACTGTAACCCTAATAACGCGAGATTTGTAGAAGCGAGGAATGTGTGAGGCGAGTGGGAAAGAACTGTGTGAGAAGTTGTTGCGACCTTGTGTAGATAATATGGACTGTAGACTAAGAGTCTACATTAGTGAGCAAAACAAGATATCAGAATGACCTATGTATAAACAAAATGCAGCTGTTGCTCATTATTGTCTGTAACAAAAGGTATAAATGCTTGCTGTAATTGTTTACCTGTTGAGAGACCTGTTTAGCTCTCTCCCTCTATGCAACTGATAGAGAGAAAGAAAATAAAGCATCTGACTTGCTGTACCCAAACAAAAAGTGAGAACTGTGTTTTTCTCCGACACTAGGGAAGGGGTTTTGACTTTCATGACATAAAACTTGACTTTTAGGAGTTTTTTTCTCATTAAATAAGCAGACCAGTCCATGGCTGAGCAAGCTGTCTTCTGGTTACCTGTAGCTTTCGTAAGTGCTTGTGAGGTACCAGCACTGTATTATCTGAGCATGTAGCTCTTGATCACAGTGAAGACATCTGACTGGTTTCAGACTGCCTGTTCCACTGTTAAGAAAATTGTGCTCCATCTGCTTATAAGAGGCAGTACTCCAGACCATGCTTTGTATCAATATAAAATAATGTGAACAGCAATTTACTATAGAATATACACATCTATTTATTTGCATTTTTAAAGCACTTTTCACTGAACTATTTAAATTGAGTATTATGCCATGTGAAATAAGTGATTTATACAGTAATGTTTTACCAGTAAAAACAATTGAAATAATGCAGAGTATTTCTATTTGAATTATGTTTGAAAAACTATTTTTATAATTATAAAATATTTTTTAAAAAAATATTACAATATTCATATGTTATTAGAAAATGATAAATATGAAGGGAGGAAATTGACATAATTTATCTTCACTTTCTCTACAATCTCATACTACATGGGGATATATGGTAGGACACGCTGTGATTAATTGAAAGGGCCCCACATAGATTCTAGCAGGAAAAAGAGTTAAAAATCTCTGTCCAAACAACTAACAACCTTTGCACTCTAGTAATGGAGACAGGTTATTTAGCAGATTCTAATGAGTCATATGTTGGTAGCAGCACCCTAATTCCCAAATGATCAGGGAATTAGTTGTGAATAGGTTTCAGGTAGATAGTAAGCTGAAGTCTCTCTTTACCTGGATATGTTTAGAATAGCTGGTTAGTTTGTAACTTGGCTGAAATATGTAAACTTTGGCTCGTGTACGTTTTCACATGGACTGTTATGTAGGGAATATTTTTTGTTTGGCTTATGATGTAAAGAGGCAAGATATTTTGCTGCAACTTCCTATTTGTAAACAAGTTGCACATTACAGCATTTCTTCTCTCAAGGTGCCTATAGGCTAAGACAGGTGCACAGAGCTCTTGTGTAATCTGCCACTGCTCCAACTGGCCCATGATGCACTTGTGGTACAGTTTTCTTGTTTGCAGAGAAAGTTGTGTTTTAAAAGCTCACATATTCCATAGCTGATCACACACACACACTTTGATATTTTCCTATTTGGCTCTGTGCAGCCTTCAGTTTTTCCATCAACTTGGAGTGACATCAAACAAAGTATCCAAGCAGACTGATATACTGATACTTGCCCTGTCATTTATCCTTCATACTTTGTTTTTTAAAATAG